TGGGGTACAGTTTTCTAGGGTTTGCATTTGTACCCAACTTTCCCTTAGTCATTCTCATTCCTTGTTTCTTCTCACCTGCACTGCTCTGCGACATCAGTGACAGGGCACACGATGGGGCGACACAATAAAAAACCCTAAACCGCGGTTTTCTGTGCAACCCGCGTCTTCATGCGCACGCTGAGATTCCATCGGCGCCGAAAGCGCTCAGACCCCCGTCGGCTCCCCTTCCACTTCTCGGCGGGGAAGAGTTCCTTAATGAATTCACGAGACCATTCCTGCAGGCGGCCGACGGATACAGCGGTTCCTTTGCGACGCCACTCGAGGAGCCTCTCGTAGACCTTCAGCTCCATCGGCCGGTACCACGACGCTCGCCCTCGACCATGCATGCACTTACGGGCAGAGTGTACCTCTTTGAGGAAGTCCACACAGCGCTTCCAGTTAGAGAGACATTTGCGATAGATGCCGCTCTCGCGAGCCAAAGAGCGCACCGAGACTGCAACATCAAGCCGCGCGGCCCACTTCAACTTCTCGGCGACGGTGTAGGCCTGACGCTTGTGCTCGCTCATCTTGTGCCTGGGAGAGGGGGGGCGGGCATCACGGTTCTGTGAAGCAAGGCGTGGTTGCTTGCGATTAAGCGGAGGGAAAGAGGGTATCGGGAGCTTCTCGGGAAGCCCGTCGCGTGACCAATACTCGACAGCGTCGTCATCGTTGCCGCCCGGAGCACCCTCGGGAAACACATCCTCAGCGGTGCCGGCCTCGGTGCCACCCTCCGTGCCACCCTCGCCGCCGGTGTCGCGCTAAACATGCCACTCCTCCTCAGCGTCAGTCACCTCGTCGTCTGCGCCGACAGCAGATTCGTCCCAGTTGCAGTCATCGGGCTGTCCCCATCGTGGTGCCGGGGCCGGAGCTGCTACATACTCATCTTGGGGCTTGTCGCAGTCCGGTTCCGAGAGGTACTCGTCAAACGCCGAAGGGAGAAGGAGCATGAGCACGGGCTGATTGCCCGTGACCACAGGAGGCACGTGATATGCAGGAGACGGAGGAACAGGAGGAGCAGGAGGAGTAGGAGGCGTAGGAGGCGCAGGAGGAGCAGGCGGCGCAGAAGGCGCAGGAGGTTGTGGTGGCTCTGGTGGGATACGGGAATACCACCCGTCAGCGTCAACTCGAAACGCGGGCCTAGCGGTAGGCTTCTTTTTGAACAAGAAATGGGTACCGGTGAATTCCGCCATGGCTTTCGCAGCCTGGCGGGAAAGAAGGAGAGACTGAATGGAAAACTGGATGAATGAGGGAAGAAATGAAAGATTGAAGGGGACCCCTTCGGCTTAGCGCCTCGGGGTCCTCGTCAACGAACGAGGGTTGCCCCTCTGCCTGAACCCGCAGAGGAGGGTTCATGGCACCATCCATGCTGCACTGGCAGGGCATCTTCTACCCCCTCCTAGAGGGTTCGGTCGAGATGCTCCTGCCTGACGACCTGATTGGGCCGCACGGCAGGTTGCGCGTCATCTCTGGCAGGTGCGTTGCTCTTGGACAGGTTTTGTGCGGTGGGAATTCGAATCGCGACAATTTTCGCCGCGATTCCATGCACGATCCCATGCGCACGTCACATAATTGTATTCCCCTTATTGAAAGCTTCAATTTGGTACATTTTAAATTGAAATTCATTTTTGCCATTATAAAAGCGCCGGCGCTTATGGTCGTTACTCAATTACAAGCGCCACCCCTTAAAAAAATGATTTTTTTTTATAAGCGCATATGCGTTACTATTCGGGGCCATACGGTACGAATAGTGAAATAGGAAAGACACTGTGCACTCCTACCCATAGCAAGTGAAGCACACAATACCAAGGCTGAATGCGAAGAGGCAGAATGACGCAAAGAGTCGCGAACGGTTACAGAGCATCTGGACCGTAAGGGCAGACAACATCAGGCAGCAGCAGTGGCGAAGATTCTGCCCGAGCAGTTCGAAACCGTCTGGAGCAGGGCCTCAGATTGGTTTTTGGGTACCCTGAGCACTCAGTGTCCCTAGGAGGGTAACACTGGTTTTCAGTGTCGTCTAGTGTGAAACACTGATTTTACAGGGTTGTTAGAAATAAAACGCTGATCAATCAGGGTTTCTAAATCTTCAACACTAATCAGCATAGTTGCTTATACCGGTATGTTGTCATAACACAGCGAATCAGACTGCCCTCACTTCACAATTCCCACATTAGGCCATAATTTTGCTATTTCCGTATCTGATTGGTCAGAATTCTTGTCTGACCAATCAAATAGGACAATTGTTAACGATTTTTTCTGATCTCTGGTTGTGTACTTGACTGATGATTCGGACTTGGTTCGTCACAGTAGATTCGCCCTGACGGCAAATTCGACCTCGCACAGTCGTTTCGCGCTATTGCAGCACAGCAAATTCGCCCAATCACAGCAGATTTGCCCTGACACAGAAGCAGATTCGCCTCTCACACAAGAGATTCGCCCTGTGTTTCGCCAGAAATCCCCTTGTTGCACGGTGCACGGTGACGGCGCGCCAAAACAAGGAGTTTTCGGTTTCAGGGTAGACCCCAATACAACACTGACTCGTTAGTGTCCTCAAACACAAAACACTGGAAAATCAGAGTTCGAAATTAAAAAACACTGAAACATCAGGGTCGTTAAAAGAAAAAGGCTGATGCATCAGGGTCATGATAAAAAATGGGGGTCAACCTTCAGGAATTCAGGGTAAAATTCCTGACTTCTGAGGCCCTGGTCTGGAGTCGCACGGTTGGAGTTCGCTGCAATAAGGGATGTACCTCTTAGAGTACACGGCTAGTTGGGTCGTTTCTGTTAGAATGGTCTAAGCTACTAGCGGAAGCTATAGTACCGTATTCTCCCGAACAAAACACCCCCCCCCCCCCCCCCCCCCCCCCCCCCCCCCGAATTGTACACCCCCGGGTAGCTTGTGCGGGGTGGGTGCTATGGGTGACCTCGTTTGTACTATACCCCCATTTTTGGGTGTTTTTTTATAACACCCCCTTTTCTTACAAATTCCGTATTATAGCTGTTAACGAGTAGGTGCAAGTACGGGAGGATATCGCGAGAATCACTCCCTCGATGGAATTTCACGGTTCTTTTATGTCAAATCTACCGAGATTCCCACCCTCCCACTATTTCGCTGTCGCCACGTGCTGGTGAATCTTCCGCTGCAAGTGGCCAGAGAGATGCCACATGGCGTTTTCGAGGGGGTGATGACGTTCTCGTCGAACCTCACATTCACGCCTCAACCTGTGATGTTAAAACTAACATGAGAACACTTAATTTGTCTACTTAAAACACATCTTACACTAAAATATACCATATATATGCACCCGTGTATTATGTAGCTTTTTCCTATGAGGAGCCCACCCCCCCCTTTTTTCCCTGTATTTTTAGCTATACCCTAGAGTGTTATGTCCGGGAGAATACGGTAGTCGTAGAACCTCCTCCTAAAGCCTAGGAATCTTAGGAGCCAACTTGGGCATGAAGCACGCTAGAACCAAAGAGATTTTTAAGAAATGAAGTTCCAGCAAGAGAGAAGCCTAACCTATAGGGTTTGGGAGGTGGTCCACTCTAAAGAGTGTACACCACAAGTTCTCCCAAACCAACCGATGTATTCTACACTACTATAGTGTAGATCTAGCACTACATATGTTTATTGGAGCAACCCAAATTATCCATAATTCCAACACCCCCCCCTTGCTCCAATAAGCATTAAAGTTCACCCATCAATCAATACCCAACTCGTTTAGCGAATGAAGCCTTGGCCTTTGAAGCCATCACTCGCATGCCGATGCGCTCAAGATTCTCATGCAGCTGCAAGCTTGGGAGAGCTTTGGTGAGCATGTCGGCATCCTGGAGGTGGGAGCGTACTGAGTGCACCTCAATCTCCTGCTGGCGCACCGCATCCCGTACAAAGTGCCAAGCCACCTTCATATGCTTGGTGCGCTGATGGAGAACGGGATTGTGGGCAAGGGTCTGAAGGAGTATGCAGAACGGAATGGTTGATTAAGGTGGGTACAAATGCAAACCCTAACAACCTATACTCTCTTATGCATGCATCAATATACCCTAGAACATACAAATATATATGCTTGACACACCTCCATAGGCTAAGTGAGGGATAACAAGAGAGAGCAATAAACACACATGGTCACAATACCAGTCAAGAGAAGCAACAAGACAACGCTCAGGGTGGATCTCTAGATCACCACACATTCCGAGCACAAGCAAACGGCCACAAGGCCAGTCCAAGAGTTTACAAATATATATGAATGCAAGGACAAGCAGAGCAAGCAATAAGAAATAATGCCACATCAACCTAGCACCATCGTCAACAAGGCCTAACTGCAGACAGAACCTGTGGTGGTCAATAGGCGCTAGGGCCTTGGTGAAGATGTCTGTAGTGTTGGCCTCTGAGACCACGAAGTCCAAGCGTGCCTGGCCGCGTCGCTGCAACTCTCGCAAGAGAAAGTAACTCACGTCAATGTGCTTCACTCTGCTCTCCAGTTGAGGCTCTCAACACAGGAGGATCATGGCCTTGTTCTCAGCAAACAAGGTCGGTGTAGAACGAGGCCGCTCACCAAGGTCGGCGAGCAGGAAAGTCAACCAGCGAAGTTCCTGTGCAGCCATGGCACCAGTGTAGATCTCTGCCTCTGCACTGGACGAAGCCACAGACGACGACCGAGTAGACCTCTATGATACAGCTACAGCTCCCCAGCTGAAGCAGTACCCCTGAGTGGACCTCTGTGTCTCCACGTTGTTAAGACGCGAGTTAAGACGCGTACGTAGCTAATTTCTGCTCCTTAGTCCCTCTCTTTTATTTAGGTCAGCAGCTGGATCTGTTAGTGCTCGCTGCCTCTTCAATTTCTCCCTTTTCACGCTACAACCAGATTTTGTTTGTTTGTTTTTGTTTTCCTCGTGTTTGTGGAGTTTGTTAGGTTTGTCGATTTCCTGGTGTGCCCTTTCTCTGGGATTTAATTCGATTTGGTATGATCCGATGTGCAGTGCGGGAGAATCTGAAGGGCGCGCGGAAGGATTACGACAAGACGGAGGACGACCTGAAAGCGCTGCAGAGCGTGGGGCAGATCATAGGCGAGGTGCTGCGACAACTGGACGAGGAGCGACGTGAGTTGAGCCAAGGCGTGAGGTGCTTCCAGTAGTTGTGCGGGGCGTGTATCGTCCCTCCGTTACATAGGAGTTGCAGAGCGTGGGGCAGATCATAGGCGAGGTGCTGCGACGACTGGACGAGGAGCGACGTAAGTCCGAGAGGGTTGATGGAGAAACGTGAGTTGGAAAGATGTGATTCGCTTTGTGTGGTTGTGTCGTCCCTCCTCCACCCCGCTCCCACGCATGGCCGCTCGCACTGATGATCAGCGATTGCACTGATGAGCAGCAATCGCACTGATGAGCAGCAATCGTACTGCCGCTCTCCTGCTTCCCCACCACCCATTCCCATTCGCAGTGATTGGGAAAGCCAGCAGCGGCCCGCGGTACATGGTGGGCGGGGTGTCGCAGCAAGGTGGGCAAGAGCCAACTCACCGCCGGCACTTGTGTCTTGTCCCTCCCCTGCTTCCCCACCACCCATTCCCACGCGCAGTGACAGTGAAAGCCAGCAGTGGCCCGCGGTACTTGGTGGGGTCTGAGTCGCCTGAAGAGTTCACTTTCTACCTGACCACCCACCCCACCACACATAACATGCTCGCGCTCAGTGACTGTATGTGATAAGTCGATTTTTGATTCAACTAAAAAAATCGACTTATCACACACGCCACGCGCGCAGTGATTGTAAAGGCGAGCAGCGGCTTGCCCGCAGTACGTGGTGAGGTGTCGCAGCACAAGAGCAATCAATCTCACAGCCAACACTTGTGTCTTGTCCCTTCCCCACTCCCCTGGCTCTCCGCGCATTTTCGCGTGCAGTGATTGTGAAGGCGAGCAGTGGCCCGCGGTACGTGGTGGGGTGTCGCAGCAAGGTGGACAAGAGCAAGCTCACCGCCGGCACGCGAGTGGCGCTCGACATGACCACACTCACCATCATGCGCGCGCTGCCCCGCGAGGTGACCTCAGCAGGATGTGATGCTTTTGGCACCTTTATTTTGCATTCGAATGAAACAGCACGTAACGTCCTGTCAGCCACGCGAGCGGCGCTCGACATTACCACACTCACCATCATGCGCGCGCTACCCGGGGAGGTGAGCGGGATGCCATGTTTTTGACACCTTGATTCTGCATTCGAATGAACCAGCACGTAAAGTCCCATCAGCGAGCGTGTGGCGCTCGACATGACCACCCTCACCATCATGCCATGCCACGTGCTCTGCGCGGAGAGGTGAGTTTAGTTGTAGGCTGTAATGCCACCTTGCCGACAGCATGCAACCTGCCTCTGTTTACTCCTCCGCACACTTTCCTTCTCCCCTTCCCCCCCGCCCTCTCAGGTGGGCCTGCCGGCGTACAGCATGCTTCACGAGGACCCAGAGGGAACGTCTGCTATTCTGCCATCGGCTGGCTGAGGGAGTCCATCGAGCTGCCTCTCATGAGCCCTAACCTCTTCCCCGCTGCCCCTCTTGTGTTTTCCCTGTCCCAAACACTCTCCTGCTGCCTCTCCTGGTGCCCCTCCTGCTGCCCCTCCTGTGTCTCCCCTCTCTCGACCACATGCCCAGGTGGACCCACTGGTCTACAACATGCTTCACGAGGACCCGGGGAACGTCAGCTACTCCGCCATTGGTGGGTTGGGAGATCAAATCCGCGAGCTGAGGGAGTCCATCGAGCTGCCCCTCATGAACCCCGAGCTCTTCCTGCGCGTCGGCATCAAACCCCCCAAGGGCGTGCTGCTGTACGGCCCGCCGGGGACTGGCAAGACGCTGCTTGCACGTGCCATCGCCAGCAATATCGACGCCAACTTCCTCAAGGTGCGTGGGTCCGTTCGTTTTGTCCGTTCGTTTTCCACCTGCCTGGCTCCGTTCACTCCCCACCTGCCTGGCTCGCACGCAAACGCCACAGTACATCTAAAGGAGCGTAGGGCTTTTTCCACTTGGGTGGGCCTCTCTGCTCGCTTTCCTGCAATTGCCAGCCAGCCAGCCATGCATACCCTTGAGAGATGAGTCAGATGATTGTTCCTCTTTTGTTCCCATCCTTGCAGGTCGTATCAAGTGCCATAGTGGACAAGTGCATAGGGAAAAGTGTGCGCCTTATTTGCGAGTCAACTAAGCGCGCGACCACCAGCCATGCATCATCTTCACTTCATGGGCGAGATCTCATGCCCTTTCCGTGTACTATCTCGACTCGTCCCACCCCTTCCAGGTTGTGTCCAGTGCCATTGTCAACAAGTACACCGGGGAGAGTGCGCGGCTGATCAGGGAGATGTTCAACTATGCGCGCGACCACCAGCCGTGCATCATCTTCATGGACGAGATCGACGCCATTGGCGGGCGCCGCTTCAGCGAGGGCACGAGCGCCGACCGCGAGATCCAACGGACGCTCATGGAGCTGCTGAACCAACTGGACGGCTTTGATCAGCTCGGACGGGTACGCTGTCTGTTGGGCCTGGCATGTGTCAGCTATTTTATGCTTTCCTCCTTGGGTGCCGCATTGCATGCGCATTTCGTGTTGCAAGGTTGTTGGCGGCAGGCCGTGCTGTTTGTGGGAATGGTTTGCATCACTCCTGCCTCGCCTCGGCTTCCATTGCATATCTCTTGCCATTCCCCCTCCCTCCCTTTGTACCCTCTCTCCCTCCCTTTGTCTGTACCCTCCTTGCCTGTCTCCACTGCCTGTGCAGGTGAAGAGGATCATGGTCACCAACAGGCCAGACGTGCTGGGCCCTATAGAAGCATTGTACGCCAAAACCGGTTACCACCGTATCCACCTTATGGCACTCAACTGCTGTTCACTCGGACTCCTCTGTCCCTCCATGGCAGGTGAAGATGATCATGGCCACCAACCGGCCGGACGTGCTGGACCCTGCCCTCCTGCGGCCGGGGCGGCTGGACCGCAAGATAGAGATCCCGCTGCCCAACGAGCAGGGGCGCATTGAGGTGCTCAAGATCCACGCGCTCGGCATCACCAAGCATGGGGAGATCGACTACGAGGCCATTGTCAAGCTGGCGGAGGTGAGTCAAGCTGGCGGAGGTGAGTCAAGCTGGCGGAGGTGAGTCGCTGTCAAGGCTTCTGAGGTGAACCCGTCTTTGCATTCGTCTATACATTAGCCCGTTCCTCCACTCCTTCCCTTTCGCAATCGTCTCCCTCCCTATTCCCCCTTCCCCTCCCCTGTTCTATCCACCCTTTGTGCCATCTGTATCTCCTCTCCTTTATGAGTCCATATCTGAGAGCCCTTGGAAGCATGAGGTACCACCAGGGATGCCCGACCTGCTTGACCTTTCTCAACTCATCCATACCAACCCCACCTGGCTGGCTGTGCATGCAGGGCTTTAATGGGGCTGATCTGCGCAACGTGTGCACAGAGGCGGGCATGTTTGCCATCAGAGACGACCGCGACTATGTTGTGCATGAAGACTTCATGAAGGTGAGTGCTGTCAGGCGCACATGTTCTGATATATGGTGATGTTGCTAGTGCAGGGAAAAGAAGCTGATGTATTTCAATTTGCGTTCACTTTTGTATTGAAACTGTTCTACACCCTGTTTTTATTTTCTTTCTTTTTTCTTGCAGGCAGTGCGCAAGATCACGGATGCCAAGAAACTGGAGTCAAGTGCTTCTTACTCAGCGGACTTCGGAAAGGACTGATTTGTACCTACCGTAGGTTGTAATGAGCGTCCTCATTTTGTTTGTACCAAATTCAGCATTCACCCTATTGGCTTAAATCCCACGGGTTGCTACTGAAGCCAAAATGGAAATCCCCAGACTCTGGCAACCCTGGCAAGGCCTACCCTTTCTATGGCAGCTCGGGTTGTTCCAGGCTCCAGCCCTTAGACCAAACAGCATGTCTCAGAGTACTACCGGTAGTGGAATGAGGAACTAAGGAAAGGGCGAGATACTGTCAGTTCAAACTCTAGAAATATTACTGTATTCCCCCGGATATAAGTCCCTAGAAAAAAATAGAAAAAATAGTGACCCCCCCTCCTCTAGTTGGGTCTGTTACCGTATGGCCCTGGATATAGGCGCCGTCCGATTAAAGGCGACGGCGCCTCTATCTAGAGCATGACGCTTATGGCCGTTCCTCGATTATAGGCGCACCCCATTTTGCACCCGTACTTATTATTAGCGCCTACTTTAATACCACATTTTTTTTTTTTCCCTATTTAAAACTAACTATTAACATCACAAAAAATTCCATTACAAGTCTAGCACCAACTATTACATCCATCTAGTGTACTTTGAACTCAATGAACAGGCCTTTACAAAGGCCTTCCTACCAATGAACCAACTACCATTCTTACTCCTCGTCAGATTCGGGCTCCTGGCAGTTGTTGCCAAAGAAGCAATGTAATGATGTCGTCGTCGACATCCACTTCCGCGGTCAGCTGGGTCCGCCTGTGCGCCATCGCGAGGCCGTCCTCGCTGCCGTCAAGCGCGTTGCTAATGCCACAAGTGAGGAAGGCGTGCTTGATGAGGTCGGCGGGCACGGCCTTCCATGCCCGTGAGACCCATCGTAGGACCACTGCTGGGGGGGGCTTCTTGAGATTCCCTGCACAGACAATAACACCACGGACATAGTTAGTGTTGCAAAGGGGAGGAGGGGTGGATAAACATGCATATGCATCGTACCTGCTGCTGTTGGTTGCTCCTGCCCCTCTTCTTGAAACCACTTTTGGTACTGCTGGCGGACTGAAGTCATAAAGCTTTTGTTGATAGAGACGTCGAGGGGCTGCACCTCCGCTGTGCACCCCGACGGGATGACCGTCGGCACGCAGTTGAGCTTGCGGAACTTCTCCTTCACCCCCTCGGTAAGGTGACCATGGTAGGAATCCAGCACCAGCATGGAGCTTTTCGCACACCTGCTGAACCGAGGCTTCAGGAAAGGCTTGACGCACTCCTCAAGCCATCGGATGACGCCCTCGGCACCCGTTCTTGTGGCACACCACGACCACACCTGCATAGGCGTAGATGAACACAGTTCGTCAGTCGATTAAACGGAAAAAACCGAACGGGTCACAACAACAATCACCATGACTTACCTGGCGGGAAATCGCCCTTCGGCACGGTCTTCCGCTTGAAAAACACCCAGGGCTTGAGCTTCACCCCGTCCGCCGTGCACGCGAGCATCACGGTAACACTCTCCTTCTGGTACCCCTCGCTTCTGATCGGCACCGACCGATCGCCGGTTTGGTCCACGGTGGTGGTGGCGGGCATCTCCAGCCAGAGCGGTGTCTGGTCCGCGTTGATGATCCACGCGGTGTCGATGCTGCGCTCACGGCGCTTTTCACGGACAAAGCGCCAGAAGTTCCTGCTGTCAGATTTATATGACAGAGCTACTGTAGGCTATAGTGGGGTAGCACATATGGGGTACAGTTTTCTAGGGTTTTCATTTGTACCCAACTTTCCCTTAGTCATTCTCATTCCTTGTTTCTTCTCATGGTATCGAGCAGGTTCCCTAGTGGGAACGATTCCTAGGGCCCACCACCACGATTTTTTTTTTTTTTTTTCCTGCCCGGAGCGCGCTTCGCTCAGGCCCGAGTCGCGCCCTGTGTGCTCCCCCCTACCGTCGCGCCCTCGCTAGGCCCCTCACGGCCCCGTCGCGTCGCCCTTAGCGGCCCCCTCACGGCTCGTCGCGCCGCCCCTTACGGCCCTTCCTGCCGCCCTTACGGCCCGTCGCGCCGCCCTTACGGCCCCTCGTGCCGCCCCTTACGGCCCCTCGCGCCGTCCCTTACGGCCCCTCGCGCGGCCCCTTACGCCCCTTACGGCCCCTCTCGCGCCCCCTCACGGCCCCCTACGGCTCGTCGCCGCCCTCCGCGGCCCCGCCACCTACCTGTGCGGCCCCACCACCTACTTGTGCGGCCCCGCCACCTACCTGCGGCCCCGCCACCTACTAGCGGCCCCGTCACCTACCTGCGGCCCCGCCACCTACCAGCGGCCCCGCCACCTACCCGCGGCCCCGCCACCTACCTGTGCTGGCCCCGCCACCTACCTGCGGCCCCGCCACCTACCAGCGGCCCCGCCACCTACCGGTGGCCCCGCCACCTACTAGCGGCCCCGCCACCTACCTGCGGCCCCGCCGCCTCCTCTCAGCGGCCTCGCCGCCTCCTCCCAGCGGCCCCGGACGCCGCCCTCTCAGCGGCCCCGCCGCGCCGCCAAGCAGCCGAGCCGCCCAGCCGCCGAGCCGCCCGGCAGCCGAGCCGCCCAGAAGCCGAGCCGCCGAGCCGCCCAGCAGCCGAGCCGCCGAGCCGCCCAGCAGCCGAGCCGCCGAGCCGCCCAGCAGCCGCGCCGCCGAGCCGCCCTGCAGCCGAGCCGCCGAGCCGCCCAGCAGCCGAGCCGCCGAGCCGCCCTGCAGCCGAGCCACCCGAGCCGCCCTGTCCGGTAAGAGCAGCGCCTCTTTCACAGCACTGCCCTCACCCTACTGTTTGCGCTGCTAGTCTACTGCTGTCATGGCTACCCCTAGTGTCCTCGCTTTTGACGCTGAGGGTCGGGCCATTGACTTTGACGTCTGGATAGATGACCTGCAGCTTTTCTTACAGTGCGACAGAGCAGACGGCCTCTCCCTCTTTGACCTCACTTCTGGTGCCTCCCCTGCCCCCGCTACTGATGCTGACGCCACTGTTCGCTCACAGTGGGCCACGCGCGATGCTGCTGCACGTCTTGCTGTGCGTCGCCACCTGCCTACCTCTGAGCGTGCGCACTTTAGCTAGTACAAGAGTGCTCACACCTTGTACGACGCTATAGTTGCGCGCTACTCCTCCCCTGCCACTGCTGCACTGAGCCGCCTCATGCTACCGTACCTCTTCCCTGACCTTGCTGCCTTTCCCACAGTCGCTGACCTCATTACGCACCTCCGCACTAGTGACACTCGCTACCGCGCTGCGCTTCCTGCTGAGTTCTGCGCCAAGAACCCCCCCCCCATGTACATCACCCTCTACTACATAGTCACCCGGCTCCCTGACTCCCTTCGCGTAGTCAGGGACCACTTCCTCTCAGTTTGCCCCACCACTCTCACCGTTGACCTCCTCGAGAAGTCCCTCCTAGCACCAGAGAAGAGCATAGTCGCTGTAGGAGCCTCTCGTGGTGACCCTCGCACCCCCATCTTTGAGGGGTGTTCCCCCTCCCCCCTTTTGCCCTCTGTTGCCTCTGCTGCTGCGGCCAACCTCGTTGGGCTTGAGTCGGTCGGTGCGGCGTCTACCCCTAGCGGGAGACGCCGCCCTGGCAAGGGCAAGGGGGGCAGGGGCACTGGAGGAGCTAGCGGGGGCAGTGGAGGCGGCGGTGGAGGCAGTGGAGGGGGTGGGGGTGGCGGTGGGGGTGGTGGTGGGGGTGGAGGTGTCGGTGGCGGCGGTGGAGGCGGAGGCGGCGGCGGCGGTGGCGGTGGGAGCGGAGGTAGCGGCGGTGGAGGAGGCGGCGGCGGAGGAGGTGGAGCTGGTCGGGGTGGCGCTGCGCAGAGGGTCGGCTCCGGTGGTGGTCAGCGCCAGCAGCAGCAGCAGCAGCAGCAGCAGCAGCAGCGCACTCGTGACATCCCCTCCCCTCAGCAGCTCCGTGAGTGGTACGCTGCACGCCAGCGGGGTGGGGGTACTGGTCCGTGCACCTACGTCCTCCGCACCGGCGACCGCGCGGGTGACCAGTGCGGGGGTGCGCACTCCACCCAGCGCTGCTTTAGTCGCCTGACGGACGCTTGGCGTCACCAGTTCCCTGAGGCCACTGAGGTGAGCTGTCTAGGGCGGGTGTCGCTGTCTTTGACCTTGACTTTGATGCTATTCTTGCTGCTATGTATACTGTGACTATTAGTGATGAGGGTGACTGTTACCGGTGTTTTCCGCCCGACCTGGGCATTGAGACTGCTGCTCTAGGTACTGGTGAGGCTGCTGCTCTAGGTGCTAGCGAGGCTGCTGCTCTAGGTGCGTCTGCTCCCTCAGGTGCTGGTGAGTCTGCTCTCTCAGGTTCTGCGTCGGCTTCGGCCTCCCACACCTTCACCCTTGACTCGGGGGCTTCTCGCTCCTTCTTTCGAGACCGCACCACACTCACGCCGCTTGGCCGGCCAGTTGCGGTCTCTCTGGCAGACCCCTCTGGGGGTCCTGTCCTTGCTCACTTCTCCACTGTCCTCCCGTGTCCGGCGGCCCCCTCTGGCACCCTGTCTGGTCTTTACCTCCCCTCGTTCTCTACGAACTTGGTGAGTGGTGCTGACCTACAGGATGCGGGGGTTCACCAGTTCACTCCTGCGAGTCAGCGGGTGACCCACTGCACGGACGCTCGGACAGGCCGACACCTGGCCACGTTTACACGTCGGCCGGGGTCGAGCCTGTACACACTGACCACTGCGTCTCCTCCAGTCACTGCGTCTGGTCAGGTAGCTGCGTCGGGTCAGGTGTTTGCTGCAGCGTCCAGGTCTGGTCCTGAGTCTGCCCCCTGTTCGTGTCGCCTCCTGTCTCACGAGACTCTCCTCTGGCACCACCGCCTTGGTCACCCCTCCCTGCTTCGTCTCCGAGGCATGGCCTCCCGTGTCCTTGTCTCTGGTCTTCCCCGGTCCCTCCCTCCCCTTCCTCCGGGGCCTGGCCCTACCTGCGTCCCCTGTGTCGAGGGGCGGCAGCGGGCTGCCCCTCACTCCTCCCAGTTTCCTCCGACAGCGGGCTGCAGACGCTTCACAT